GATATCTAATATGAACAGATGGAAAGAAAGACTAATAGCAGAATGTATATTCATTAAGGTCACGCTGGATGCACGTAACAAGGGTGACTCAGCACAATTGTCAACATCCTGGATATAATTCTGGATACACAAAAGTGAACGAACAAAATATGAATCATATATATGATTTCAAGTCATAAATGTATGAATTAAAAAACGTTTGGTGTGATCACATGCAATAATTTTGCTTGAAATGAAAGCAAAAGCTTATCATTGTGTGTAAACTATCTTAGTGGGGATATTTAAAGTACTTCCAATGTACAGCAAATTCTGTATTTAGCGAAGGGACTCTTTTCAATGAATTTATTATCAAGGTGTACAATCGTACATGTATGGCTTTTCTAATAAATTATATCCGGTGTGGGAAGTGAATCATAGACGTGACTTCATAAAATAATAATAGTACTAAATGCAATTAAAATGTTTGTAATTACAATCATAATTAAATATCTAGTGACAAAACAATTAATGTCTTACATACTATTATTATTTTATTATTCGCACTTATGATTCAGTTCCCACACTGGATATAATTTCTTAAAATAAAGCCATATATATACGATTGTACAGCTTGATAATAAATTCGTTGAAAAGAGTCTCTTCGCTGAATCACTCGTCTTGATTTTCTATACATCCTAATGGGAATTTTCCATGAATTCTATACCCGTTGCACCAAATATCAAACTTCTGGTGTTTTTCATGCATTAAGGCTTTATGTTTCACATTATTACACTTCAGTTTCACATATGTTCAGATAAACGTAGTAGTGTTCGAGTTTATTCACCATTTAATTCACTTCTGAAACTGAATGACTAACTTCGTTGATCTTCAGTAAGAAGTATAACATCCTCGACCTACAGAATATAATACATCTCAACAGTTAGATGCCGATTTCAATGAAATATTTGCATCTGGCCCTACTCAGGCAGTTACCTGAGGTTCTAGTGGGAAGCCGTGACCAGTAGGGTACAGCAGTTCGAAGGTGAGAACAGTTACTTATCAAAGATACTGCTAAGTAGCCGCACTGTGTCATGAATTGGCAAAAGTTAGAATTCATGGGCCGTTGGATCGGGTCCCAATGCCTTAATGGTCTACGAGCTCTCCTTGTAACTAGAAGGTCCCGGGTTCGAGCCCGCTGTGGTGTGAGTGCGTGCTTATGAAGAGTCTCAAACTAGGACGAAACAGTTGTCCAGTACTCCCAGATTTTCTAATGGTTCTCTAACCGATGTTAGCTAATGAGGAAATCCTCCAAACAGTTATTCAAAATCCACACATATTTTCTGTCTCTTGAAAATAAGACGAGTTATGTTGTGTGCACAGCATGCATATAAATATATATATATCATCCAGCAGGTGTTATATCTTCTGACGTAACAAATGAAAGAATGATCGTTTTTCTGGTTTTAATACAAATAATAATCCCAAATATCTCCAGTCATCCAAACATTTACAATCCCCATTTCCAGATGACGCCCACTATTATCCTCAGAAAAAGTGAGAATATTTTATGCCATGCTTTTACTGACATTAATATTGTCCAGGTGCCGAAAACATCTGGTGTATAGTGTGTCAAACTTAGACCTGCTGGCATTACCCCGCTCTTTTTGAAAATAATGCAAAAATTACACCTGCTTAGTCTTAAATCTCCATTAAAAGCTTTTTATGTCCCAAAGGAATTCTCTTACAGGCATAGTAAAAGTACTTTGGTTAGTGTTGCCTACATTTTAATATTTCTTGTTTGTTCAGTGTTCGGTTCCTTGACTGCACATCTGCTTTTTATTATCTACCTAGACATGTTCTGAAAAACAAGCTTTCTGTGACACAAACGGTGTTCTGGGTTGACAAATGATTTCATTCTTGTTTTCTTGATAGGAAGGAGCACACTGTTTTGCTTACTGTAGCCGGTGTTGCTTTAGGTACTGTTGATTAATCATACGTGATTGGCCTCATTCTGATGAAGGAAGTTTCAGTGTGATTATTTCCACGCCAATTACTTCCCGATCAGACCTTTCCAAAATGAATAGCTTTTTGTTAGATATGGTACTTGTTAAAAGGTATCAAGCTATACCCCCTGCAAATGTCAGATTGATAATTTCACTTTTAGACACAAATATGATTTACATGAACTGGTTTGTGACTATGATTCCTGTATCATGGAGGGAAGTTAAGTTAAAACTACATCGGATGCTGAACACGCTGAACTATGTCTTTCTTCTGATCTTTCTTGGTCTTCCCACATTAATTTAATTTCTGGAAAGATATTTCAGCTAGCTTGCTACGTAAGAAAGTAAATAAAATCTAGTGTCAAACAATCTCTATATTTACGATTTGTTAATTCTTGTATTCTACGTATTTCCGGTTAATACTCCCCTGTAATCTTTGTACGCTCACTTTATAAAGAGTTTGTTTTCAGTGTGAAGGACACCAGAAGCTTTTGGTATAGCAAGTGGGGTGTCGCTCGTTTAGCACTTCTGAAATTTTGCAAGAAACTGGCAAAAATCATCTTGTCGAAAACTGAACACCTTAATTCACAACTCCCCCACTTCACCTGTTCAGGCAGGACTGTGTTCGGACGACTAAATCTAGAAACTCAATGTTACCTTATTTGGCACGTACTTAATTGGATGACGAAAGTGTTAGGCATATAACTACTAACTCCCTGAGAAACAATTAACAGAAAGGCTATTTTTATTCTTCCTGTCGCTGACTTCATTTATATTAATTTATGATTTTAATTTAACATTCATAATTTATTGTCACTGTGATTAGTGCCGATGTTTCTGTAAATTAATTTAATCCTTACTTTGTAACATAAAGTGAGAACGAGATGCAATATTGTACTACATGCTGAGAGTTCCACACTGTATCAAATGTACTATATGGGATAAAGCCATTATTATTAAAGATGAGTCAGGTAAGAGTCCAAAGTCGTGTTGATGAACTTAGAAATTATTTTGAGCAATTAAATATTCTGAAGCTATTTTCATAAGAATTGCATGTTAGACAGATTGATAAGTAGCAAATAGACTTTGAAATTTTATTTCTTAAAGATATGAATTCGACTACATGTCAACTTGTTAACTCTCAGTTGTGTTCAGTGACAGTGAACTTACACAAAATGTTAACTGCTGATGAATTTCTAATTAAAATTTGTGGCGATTTCAGTTTCTTGTTGGCGAAAAGGCATATTAGCTGACTAAATGTTGATAATCACGAGTTGAAACCGAGTCAAAGATAATAAACTCCAAAGGTTAGTAACTTTATTATTGTTGAAGAGGATGGCAAAATGTGAAGAATAACGAGTGAGAAGACACCCTCACTGATAAAATACCTCAACTTGAAAATTTCATTGAACTTATCAGGTGTTTAGAAGACATAGATTAGGCTTCTTAATGTGGATCCCAACAGCCCGAGCAATAAATAATTAGTAGACGAACTGTTGAAGCAAAATTAAGCCTAGTTATTGTAAGGTAGATAGGTGACTTCCACAACTCATTGTTTTCTGGTATCTATGCTTTGCTTAAATTAATTTTAAATTTATGAGGGATAAAACTGTTCACTTTGCTAGTCAAGGCAAAACATACATTTTAGTAGTCTACTTCATTTGTACTTTTATTCCTTTCACTATCGATTGCATTCCTTAAAGTTGTCAAGAACTTTATGGGTTTGAAACAGGTATATTGGAAAAAACATGGAGGTGTATAACTCATTGATGATAATAAAATGTTAACTGAGGTAGATTCACGATCTCACAGGGTACGAAACATTACCAAGTCATTACAGTTTAACATCTGATTAAGATTGTAAATCAAATCAAAGATCTAGGCGAAAAGAGTTTCTGAAATATAGGGAAAAGCAAGTAAGTGTGAACAATATCACAAAAACAGGACAAGGCATAATACCACTAAACGTGAAACACCAAATAAACTGGTGTTTTTATTCTTCATATCACTAACATATTATTGTCGCGATTTCCAATATTACTATTAACGTCAAAAAAGGTTCTGTTATAATTTTCCCCTCACTATGTTAAATCAAGACAACATTAGATGCAGTATTATTTTACAAGCTGTAAATTCCACGCTGTTTGGAATAAAGCCAATACTAATATCACTAGAAACCTCTCCATCTTATTACTAATATCTATTGATGCCTAAAATACGTAATAAAAGTAATTATCACTTGTTTGAGGGGTCAATTATTTAATATAGAGTGCCATCAGTCAACGGGAAAATCACAACTGAATTCAAAACAAATAATAACTGTCATTCAAATTTGCCCATATCTTCCCTGTTTAATTTCGAAAATTATTCTTTTGCTAATCTATTAGTCTCATTTGACACGCCAGATTGATCGACTTTTTTCTGAACCGTAAAACCATTATCTAAATCAATAAGTACACATTTTTTATTCCAATAGGTTCTTAGTGGAATATATAGGACTTCAAGCTAGAGCTTTGAATTCTCGGTAGCAGTGGTTTTATTTTTACTGAATGCGATTGCTAGTGTCACGCCCAACCTTCCCTCTTTGCCAGGCTTATTACCAGTTAAGCGAGGTTTGGGAGTGCGTCGGCCAGGGATCGAACGCCGGACCACGTGTGGTGTGGCTGGCGAGCGTCACTGACGCATTATGTTCACACTGCTTTACTGAAAAAAAGGAAGTATTTCTGCTACTGAAAATCATGGGTTTCAGGAAACAAACACATAATATTCATATCTTATGTGTGAATTACTTGAAGTTGCATATCAAAAACACCATAATGGTAGTGTTTGGAAGTATTTAAAGGCGTTTTAGTTAACCAGTGTAAGGATCTTTATATATTTCATTCCTTGGGCTGCAAAAAAATATCGTTAACCGTAGGATGTATAAAAATACTGATGATTTGATATTTGATTAATCAAAAAATTCTTAACTAATTATTTAATACTGATGACTGCAGTCAACCAACAAAGCAAACTTACACGCTTTTTCTCTTTAAGTCTTACATCCTCTACACATTTAATTTGTTCACCAGGTGTTATGCGATTCCATAGTCTAAAAGCTATATATCCATAAGTTGAGATTTGTATTCCAAGTGGTATAACATATATTACTAAGAATAGTACAATTGTGTAAATGGAGCGTTTGTACTCATCACCATCCCACGACTCTTGGCATAGCTTAATATCAACTGGATATTCTACTTCTTGTTCAGAATGAGTTTGATTTTGCTGTTGTATATCCGTTCTCGTGGCGAATAACTGTACAGTACTGCCAGTGAAGGCAATAGTCCATATACATATTATGATACCAATTGTGAATGATTGTTGATGTCTACTATGCCAGTGATCAGTATTAAGTGAACCAACAATACCAAATAAACGGTTTACACTGATAGCTGTGTTTGTCAAAGATGATGCTGTAACCATAACTAATTGTACGTAGACAACTATTGGACACATCAAATCAGGGAAAGGCCAGTAATGTAAGTAAATTTGTGTGAATGTGAATGGAATGCAGAAAACACCCATAAAAAAGTCAGATATTGCTAAACTCGCCAAATAATAATCAAATGATGGATTCACATTAAATGTACGCTTCTGATATGTGCTACGTATGGTAAAACGTAAGCGTTTCTGTGCCTTTTCAACTGAATTATCAAGATGCTTTTTCATTGAACTGTTATAATCACGGTTATTTGAAGAGACAAATACATCAGGAAAGTTGTGATTTTCAGGATCTGATTGTGTCTGATTTTGCAGATGCTCTTCATGATGCGAAGTAATATTTCTTTCAGTGCCGGTCAGTCGCCGTATGGTTGGATGACAATGATTGCCCGAACTTTTACGCTTGCGTAAAAATATGTAGATTGCTACTGTATTGCCAAACAACGAGCATAACATTGTTATAATGTACACAATAAATACAAAAATACTGAGAAAAATCGAACATTCGTTCATTGAAGTTATGGTATATGTAATGCTATTGTTAATCTTAATAAACACCTTATAATTAGTGTTCAATTGTTGACTAGAATTTGTGCTTTAGCCGTAAAAATAATGTATGGGCAAATTAAATGAATTAACACTATCCATGATGAATGACCCAGATGAAACTACATCAACAGCGTTGAAAAAACAAAAATTATTCCCATAATAAATTTTTATTAATTGTTTAAAGTTGTCCACTGAGTCTTTAATGGCTGAAATCACTTTAAAATGATAAAATCGAGCAATTTCATTGGTTAATTCTTTTAAAATCTACTATTGGTCAGCCTTCATTATACCTAGTTTACGAAGTGTAGACTCTCGTTCCTAAAAATAACACACACTAACTTTTCAAGGCGTATAATTATTAATTCTGAGGAAATTGCTTTAGTTCGACTAACAAATCGACAGCCTTCATTCTCCTTTCTAGAAAATTGCTATTCCTAAGACGCTACACAGTAAGGCTACTAGCATGAGAAAAACTTTCAATCACATTACGATTGAGAAAACAGGACTGAATCTCATTTAAAAGGTTTTGAATTAGACTACTCTTTCTTCTATCAGAATTTATCACCTCCTTCTATTTTAGATCATGACTAATCCCCATTCGAACATCAATACAGAGAGGACTGGTAGTTCAGCGAAGAGTCTCTTTACGGTGAATTCATCTTCTTACCTGTACAATAGTAAATATGTATGGGTTATTTTGTATATATGTGTAAACTAAGTTTATCAAACAAAAATACAATTGGTTATGCTTATTTTAAGTAAACAGGTGAGAATTAGTAAATTTTTGGTGGCGTTACTTAAAACAAAGAGTATTCAGAGGAATTGAATGTTGATATATGAGGGTAGTAACAAAAGCACATGGTTCGGGGTTCGACCCCCTGCCGATGCACTCCTTTACCTCGCTACGCCAGAGATAAAGCTGGTAAAGAGTAAACGTTGGGCATGGGGCTAGCAACCCCATCCTGTAAAAATAATCACCACCGCTACAGTGCGTCGGGGGCACAGCGGTTAGTACTCTCGCCAACCATGCACATGGTCCGAAGTTCGATCCCCTGCCGACGCACACTGATATCTATGGTCGGCCCGCAAAATTTGGGCTACCGATATCACATGCTGAAAATTCCATACTTGTACCAAAAATACTGTGTGGTTTCAAGCTATAACCAAAGTAAAAAATAAAAAAATTCAAGCCTCTAGCTTGAATCTCTATGTTCCACTGGGATTGTAAAGGAATAAAAAAACAAAAGCGATGAGCTGTCACAGACAATTGTTAAAGAGGAGTTACGTAATAACATGGAGAGTTTGATGAAAGAGTTGTGATCAGGGTGAACATGGGAACAAAACGAAATACGGAATTCCGTAGGAATTTTAATTCAATAGATGAGTTTTAAGTAGTTTCAAAAACAAGGAAAAAGTAAAAGTTAAGATTTGATAGTGTGGAAAATTCCCATATTATGAATTAAAAGTCAATCTGAAAGAAGAAGATTCTTTTCAATAATTTCTCTTCAGGTTCTTACAATTATAAAATATAATATTTGTTGTCGTTACAATAAAGGCCAGTTATGCGGCAGATACATTTTTAACGTAGAATAACAGATTAGTTATGGGGTGTCAAAATAAATAGTCGTATTTGTGTGACAAACGTGCTAGGCTGAATTCGATTACAAAATATTGTAAAACGGGAGACAATGGTGATTAGTCATAATAGATTTGTAGAGTGGGGGTAGGAAAATTGACAAGTCAGTTCAAGGTTATAAAAGGTGTCAGGTGAGTGGCTAGTACAAAGTGGTCTGTGTTAAACAGGAGATAGTAAGACTGCAATGGGAGGTTCATAATGAGATAACGAATATGTGAAATGAAACAGGTGGAGGCATATATTGAGAAAAGAGATAATATCACTAATAATAAGTCAGGATAGTATAAATGGAAAATTCGATAGTATTGAGGGAATGTTTGTATGAAGGGCATAAATTATGACGAATAATAATAATATTAATAATAAAAATAATAATAATAATTGTAATAATAAGCAAAGGAAAAAAAAAGCCAAGAGGGTTAAGGGGAAGGAGCACTCTTGGTGAGAAGAAGAATCATCAATCCAAGTTTGGCCACGGTAGGAACAGCGTCTGGACGTGTTCTTTTTGGATACAAAGTTCCGGTTTAGTCGATCTTATTGCAACAGCTTCAGCTATGTGTAGAAGACGTAAGCGAACTGTACGTGATAACGACTTCGGAATTCGGTATATAACCCTGAAAGCTGTGTTGACATCGATATGATATCCAGTATCGACCATGTGTGACAGGATCGAGCCTTTTATGCACTTAATTTCCCTCCTGCTGAACCAAGCTGATAAATGTTCTCGAACCCGTAGACGAACCTGCCTAATCGTGCGCCCTATATAACTTGAACCACAGGAACAGTTGAAATAGTATATGCATGAAGAAGAGCTAAGGTTAGGTAAGACATCTTTGAGTTGCTGGGTGAACATTGGACGGCTACTGAAGGATAAACACATTTAAGTCAAATCAACACAGTTGTTACCATGATAGTAGAAGTGGCTGAGTAGTTTTCTTTTGTATGCATAGTTCTGGTTCTTCTAACTGAATGGCTAGGGCTTCTGTAATGCAAAAAAGACGGAAACGTATTTTCTTTGGCAGGTTGTTCTTCACTTTGTAGATTACTTTGTCTACACATATAATGAGTTTCGTAACCTTCTTCATTTGGCAACTATAAAGATCCACACAAAAGATTTTTATATGAATTCCTAATTCGGAAGCTTTTAATTTCCCTTAAATCCATTCATGTAATCACTCATACAGTTTGCATACTGAAATATAATAATGTACTGATACTTTTGAGATAATTGATTGATGGTTTGATTTTGTTACACAATCTAATGGATGCATTTAGTGAGTTTATTTTCAATAGTAAATTTATTTTAATGATAATTTGTATTTTTCTGCAGGAAAGTAATCACTTTCAGTAGTGGATTTCTCATCATCTAAACTGTTAAATATCTTTACAATTACTGACACGAAAACACGCTGCTAACCCCGAACAGTCGACCTGTTAGAATAGATTCTATCAGAATTGTATACCGAGTAACTGAAAATATTTAAGAAGTTTAAATTACGACATGATTTGAAACTTGCTTGAACGAAGAAATAAGCAGAACCTAACAAATACGTGTTCTAAGTTTCCTATTTTTACGTAAATATTGGCATTATTTACATTAGGAAAGTTGGCAACCAAGAGCTTATTAACTCCATTTACCGGTATTGATGTGAAGTTACTGGGTTACTGATTAACTGGCACCTGTACACATTTTAAAAACACTAACCGAAGCCGAAAAATATTAACAGCAACTCAGAACAAAAGTGATATAGACAGTGATATATTAAGCCGCAGGTTGATTAGATCAGTTGAAAGAACTTTTACTGCCGGAGAAGCACACCTCAGTTTCTCAACCAGACAGTTACTGACACAGTGCACCGAATATAAATTACGAAAGATAGCCAGCCACATCAATATATGTTTAAAAATTTCAATTGCTCATGCGAGGCGACTATATAGGTCGAACTCAGAGAAATTTAATTTTACGCGGTCTTAAACAACTTCCGGTTTGGCTTGAAAAATGTGTTACCAAATCAATAAATGGTGCTTCTTCTCTCCTCTGGTGGTAATGGAATAAAAATAAGAATAGATAATTAATATACGCTTGTACACTTAGTTAAAACCAGTCTGCCTAAAGGCATACAATTACTTCTCTCAGCTTTAGCGGAAACCGTAGACATTATTCAGAAAAAACCAGACACATGTGTACAAAAAACAACAAACATTCATCATCTTTGTTTATCAAAGCCAACTATAGAGAAATCGGAGACATTATCATCCATATTTTCATGCCATACTGTGTCTTTCTTATTCCCTTTCACATACTCTACTTTACTCCATTATTGCCTTCATTATGTGTCAACCTTCTGCAATCTACACCAAGCTTATCATGTCTCTAGTATTTTATTACAATTGACAATCTAACCTATTTATTTCATCACTACACTTGATATCTGTCAGCCCCTGCTTCAACTCACATTCACTGTTCCCCATTTTTTAGTATTTGTTTTTATGCATTTTGTGCTAATCATTTTCCTCACACGCCATTAAATATTACTCACCACACCCCACCCCAATGGAAATTATATTCGTTGACTATAAATACTATAAATAAATAGTGTATCTCACATTTGTGTATTCACACTTTGTCTTAGGTTCTGAATGACTGTACATGCTATATACTTTCATTTGACAGTATCGAATAACGAACTCTCACTCCATGTTATGCCTACACGTCAATACAGTATCGGGTATAGTTTTCACACATCTTTAATAACTTCTTGTAATATTATGGATTCATGGATTTATGAGTGTAGAGCCTGAGGAGGAATTTGTTGAAAACCGCTGTTCACTCATAATCATATTTTTCTGATTACTCCATGTTGTGCTGTTTATTTTTGGTGGTGTAATATTTATGAAGCATACATCAGAAAAAAATGCATACAGTAGAATACTTGCAAGTGGAGAGATACATTTGTTTTGATTAATTTATTGAAATGAAAAGCAAGAGCACTCAAAATAGTGCTACAATGAAAACAATGAAGAACTTAGCATATTCTACAGTGTTATGAGGAGAGTTACTTTGTAGCTGAAAGGCAATTTTCTAGTTTTTTTCATCAGCTGAATGACTATTATGTCTGTTGAAACAGTCTGCTTTATATTAGCAATCAGACAAGCAAAAGTCATGTTTCACCCTCAACTGTTTCTAATTTTAGTCGTTTGCAGAAGAAGTATTAAATATGTCAACATTTTTCAAATTACTGAGACGAGACTTTCCAATTCTACAACTTTT